CGCTGCAGGATGCACCGAGCGCACTTTTACCCCCATTTTATTATTTACAGGGCCATCAGTTAAGGCTTTAAAGAAGCTATTTTGAGAATGAATTGACGATTACACAATGCAGTCACAGCAGGGAAGCCAATGTCATTTTCGAGTCAAAAAACACATAGAATAGATTAGTTTATATTGAGCTGGGAAAATAATCAATTCAATTGATTACTAAAGATGTACGTTTTTGACAATTTTTATTGAAGTAATGTCAATATGTTTTTCTGTGTTTGCAGAAAACAAACGTTTGAAACCGATTTGCAGTCAGTGTTTGTACAATGATTTCTTAATGTCATATCAGACTAAAGAGCAAAACCACCCATTATTTACCCCCATCCTCCCAATAAATGAAAAGTAATAAATATCACTTGCAAACATAAATGAAATATTTTAGTAAAACCAAATGCTCCAGCAAACTTTTTAATTAACTTTAACTTTAAGACAAGAGATCTTATGTTGGTCCCACGATGGGGAGAATTTGGTGCTGTAGCACACATTTATGAGGGAAAAAAGAAAATATAAAAAACAAATCTATATTTTCTTTTTTTAATGAAAATCAAAAATGTCTTTATAAATCACCCAGCCATACTTCATATGAAATCTTAATCTTAATTCAGCACAAACAGCAAAACAATAAGTGGTAAATATTTGAGACAAACATGAACTATTTACAAGTGCAGGAGGAATGAACAGACGCGATAAACTACGATTGAAGATTCAAACAAAGACAGGAACAGTGCAAAATAAACGACTGCACAGTTTATAAGTTATATATAAGTTAGATATGCAACAGAACTCTAGTCCACAGTCTCCGTGTATATCAGGCTCTGCCATGAGCCCAAACCTCTTTTCCTTCGGTTCCTTCAAAGCACAAAGCATTCTGCTCCATGTTCCCTGCAGCCGCTCCACGCTTCCATCCAAAACACACACACACGGACCAATCACAGTGGAGCTTCTCTGCGGCGGCGGCGCAACATTTTCGAGGGAGCAGGGGTGGCTACGCAAAAGGGTCTTGCGGTGATTCTTGCGTTGGTCAAATGACGTCACGTCACTGCCGTAAGCTCCGCGCCATGCGACTAAACACTAGGTTGAGAAAGAATGAGGATATAAAAAAACAGTCTCCTTGTGTCCCTGAGCGTGGTCTTTGACTGTGCATCAAAGGCTCCACTCATTAAACTAACTCCTCCATCTATCCATCTATTTTCTTCCCCTTAATCCATTTCTAGGTTGGGGGTGCAGTCAGAGCTGCACCCAGTACACAGAGCACCAGCCCCTCACTGATCCTCCTGCAGGTAGTGAGTCCACAGGTGCCTTGATCTTTCAGCAGGGGCTTCAGGCAAAGTGGGGTTAAGTGTCTTGCCCAAGGACACAACGACAGCAGTCATCAGTGGGAGTCATGAACTGTCACCTCAAAAAACTAAACGAATTCCTGTGAAACAAAACAACTGACATTAAGTCCTTTGAGACGACTGCTGTGATTTAGGGATATGATAAATTGAATCTGTAAAATCTCTATAGGAAAGACAACATTTGTTTTTTTTAATTATTTTTCATGCATTGTATGTAAACAGGTGCTGCTATCCTGCTAGATAGATTTTAAACATCTCAATTTGGAGAGAAATCCATGTAATTACCACTATTATGATGTAACTGCTTCTGAAGAGAACCCAAATTTATAACACCAAAGTCATTTACAACATCAAATGTGGCTTTAACTATTTCTCATTAAATCACGGCAAAAACACACAAAATCTCTGTCCCCGCTGCTCTGCGCACAGAAATACTAGTCATTAGTTGCATTCGAGGTTTTTCAAGTTTAGGCTTATGTTGTGTTCTCAGAGCTTTAGCTTCATGGCGAGTCTTTGTACAGTTCACACAAAGACTTATGTTCAACACCAAGAAGGAAATTGCAAAGTCCCCGTCATATATTATTCAAGTAGAATGTAGACAAATAATAACCCTATTGTACAAATGAGTCTTTAGTTCACTCTTGAATCAGTTCATGCTTGAGCATATTTGATGGCAATAGAGCGTTCCATTTACAAGGAGCAACATGAAAGAAAGCTAAACCTAATTTCAATTTTATACACGGAATAAATTAACTTATCCTTATCTGATGTATTTACACCAGAACCTTCGCTAACTGTGGGCCGGGGGCCACATACGGCCCAGTTCACATTTCTAGGCACTGATCAGGCTTTTCCAGTGCCAATACCGACACCTGGGATTTTGGCACCTGCCGATACCCAAAATTAAAATAATGATAAAATGCAGAGATGATAAAACAAAGACATAAATGTTAAGTCCTTAAATAAATTACTAATCAATATTCTCCACTTATATCAATATCACTGATTCATACAGCAACAGGATCAGGATTAATATTCGTGCCTTTTACTTCTACATCCTACACCTCTGAAAGCATTTTATCCAAAACTTAATTGTAAACGTCCGTCCCCCTTAGCTGCTTCTTTAAGGCCACTCCTCTTTTGGGACTTATGATTTAAAACCATAACAAGACAACTATGATTCAATTTCCCTCCAGGCACCACATTACTGTATAAAGCTCTGTCCATTCACAAACCGGACACTCCAATGAACTGGGACACACAATCGATAATGGCCATTCCCATACATTTTCATTATTACTGTGCGGCCAGGGCGTACACAAGCGAGGGGAGGGAAAGTGCATCTCTGTCGTTGCGGTGTGCTGCTGGTGACCTCCTGATTGCATGATAAATATTTCATTGTATTAATTTAGCAGCATGGCGTCATTCTGCCGTGTTGTGACCCTGCATTTGCAGAAAGAAAAAAAAATACTTAACAAAAGAAAAATATTGAAGTCATGAACTTATGGAGTTTGTCAGAAAAAGAGAGAGAGAGGTAAATGATTTGAAAAAAACGACCCAAGCTCCCTCCCCCTTCCTTTCTGATTGGTCTACACCTAAGTTTCCCTAACAATCAATCAACACATGTTAATCGGAGAACACATTATTCATATATATTATTAATGCACGGAGGTTTTCAGAATTATCTGTTTTAATGCTTTCATGACAAAAATTATGTTTAAATGGACATGAAAAGCGATCGCGGTAAACCCAGAACTAGCTATTATCATGAATTGAACATTATAGGACACATCTGCAGAGGATCTGATTATGGATATAGGTTCAGTATATAAATGATTATGGATATAGGTTCAGTATATACAGTAAATGATTATGGATATAGGTTCAGTATATAAATGATTATGGATATAGGTTCAGTATATAAATGGGTAACTCAGCGCGGATGTTCAGAATTCTTTGTTCAGTTTTCATGTAGTTCCAGAGCCTAATGGAGACTGGATTCAGAGGTTCCGTGAAAACAAACAACTGAGCATGCGCAGCTACGAGCATCAGCGCCGATGATTGACAGCCCTTGGCATCACTTGATTGGTTAACGTGGACGGCATCATGGATTTTGAGCTATAGCTAAGAGCAGGGAAGGCGGCACTTGCCCGTAATATTAGAATTCATATAATGACTTATTTTATATCAACATTTAAGGCCAGGAGGTCAATTTAATACAATTCTTAAAAGTTGTAAGTTCCAGACTATCACTTTAAGGCATGAAGACAGTGTTCAAAGGGTACTGTCTCAAATGTATGTATATGTGAGAAAAATGTATGAGAAATAGTAAAACATTGCCACAGAGCTGAATATGTTGATGTGATGCATTGGAGTTAGCGGGAGGGCTGAAGCCAGGCTAGCGCTCCCTAGTGGCTCTTTTCAGTTTAATTTCAATTTTCACACAGGAATCAAAACTTTCTAATCCCCATGGAGAACATCGGGAGTATTTGATAAAAAACCCAATTTAGCAATCTCTAGAAAACATCTGTAGGAACAAGGTAGAAGAAACCTTTGGAATCCAGACACATACAGAGGCAATAACAAGAGGCAATAGCATTAAGCAGAATGGTGAGCCCTCAGAGTCTAATGTAATCAACAATCATCCAAACTTTCAATCAATATTATTTCCAGAAAATCGCTTAAGCTCTGCCGATACATACATTTTATAGTTCAGAACAGCCTGAATCATACTGATGAATCTGTTAATAGTCCACACTGCGTTGTAAAAGATTTTTGAAGGTTTCAAAAATGACATGGCTTTATGAAAGTATGATTTTGAAATTCTTTGTGCATTCTTTGTGCGTTTGTGGATTGAAGAATACAGCTTTTATTCGTCTAATATGTTGTCAAGTATGATATTTTTGTGGAGGTGGAGGGAATTCTGCAAATGGTAATCAGAGCAAAATCCATAACAAATTATGTTGATGCATGTTAAATAAAAGGGTGAGGGAATTTGATATTAAACTGGATAATTATCCAGCGCTACAATTAACTACAGTAATAACAAATATCTAATTTTTGTAACCAACATAATACATTATTATACACAGTCCACGACAATAATAGTAACTTCTGGCACAAACATGGAACTCCACCACTTCTGTCTAAAAGCCTCTGCCTCAGTCCTGTGTTAGTTTGTAGTCATCAGTTTTGGGAATTCCTCAGCAAAATTGCGTTCTTTACAATCACATGTCTGTGTTTGCAACTAATAATTTTCTAATTTGAAATTAAAATCTATGTTAGCATAGGGATAGGACAGGCCAAAAACCATTTTTTTACACTTACATCATAGACATTAGTGTAAAAAAAACCTTTCACCCTATAATTTCATATTCTAAAATGTGAAATGATAAATAGTTTTCATATTAATGGTCAAGAATACTATACCATATTTATTTAATTCATTTTAAGACATAAGCAGCCCTTTATAACAGCAGGTGCTGCCCTAGTCTCAGCAGAATCTCTGGGTAACACAGGCAGTTGCCCAGAAGCATCACGTTGAATTTCACTGAAAATCCTAATCCTGTGGACTCCTGAGGTATAATTAAAACTAAAGTGCCAGATCAGGGCAGATCACTGACGGGCTGTAGCGGAGCAGTGATGAAACCATGAAGCAGATAGTAGCCCCCTTTTCTCCTCACCTCTCCTCTCCTCCATCCGTCCATCCATGAGAGCTGCAGTAGGGGCACAGCTGTGGATCAGGGGAAAGCCCCTGGAGCATAAACGCAAGCCGACCACCGCTACAACAGACACGGAGGCAGCCAACTACTTTCCGAAACAAAGCCACAAGAGAAAAGGCTAGAGTGGTGTTAGCTGCATCTGCTATTTTCACCGGAACCCCGCATCTAGAGACGCGCGCACGAAAGCGCATGAATGGTTTGTATAAGGGAAGAAAGAATATAACACAAGATAACAATACCTTAGAGCTGTGTAGATGCGTGGAGCTTCTTTAACCCAATTCCTCGCAGTTTTATTATAATTGTTATTATTATATTATATGAGCACTAGTGTTGCTGCTTTTACGCACAGCTCCACGCTCCTGCGCCTGTAGTCAGTGGTCCTCTCTTCTCTCTCCTCCTCCTCCTCCTGTATCACTCCTCTCTCCGCCTGCCTCGCCACAATGCATGCCGGGAACGCACGGAACGTGAGGGTGCGCAGCCAGAGGCCGTCGCCGCAGTCGCCCCACTCTCGCCGATTGGTCGGTGCTGGCCCTGGCAGGGAAACTGGGAATCAATTTTGAGCCGCGTGCGTAATAGCCTGTCTGTGAATGGGTGAATAATTCATTAAGATTTTTTTTTTTTTTTTTGTGAGAGGGAAAAATAAAAAACGATGACATTGGAATTTAATTGTTGATTGTTTAAGGTGATGTTAGACACTTACATTTTCCTATGCTGCCTGGATTAACATGTACAATTATTCAAAATATATAGCCTATTTATCAATGTCCTTCCTTTTGAAAAAACCACCACCAGTAAGATTTGCTGGAGAAGAATAGTTAATTAAGTAGACATGTCATAATGCACAAAATTTACTTTACTGCAGTCTTGTTTTACCGCACTTATACTATGGCTTGGAAATTTGGGGTAATAATTATAAAAGCTCTCTACACACCCTAGTAATTCTTCAAAAGCGTGCCATAAGAAATATTCACATGGTTAGGTATTTGGATCACACAAATGTACTTTTTTTAAAGTCTAAATTGTTAAAGCTTGTTGACTTAGTTGAATTTCATACAGCACAACTCCTGTGCAAAGCAAGTAAATATATGTTGCCGGCAAATATTCAAAGACTCTTTGCAGAAAGAGATGGAGGTTACAGTCTGAGGGGATTTGGAAAACTCAAAGTAAAGGTTTCTAGGACCACTAGGAGAAAAATGTTTGTTTCTGTTTGTGGAGTTCGAGTTTGGAATGGACTGGGACAACAGTAGCCAGTGAACAGTAGCTAAGTTGGTAGAGCACTGGCCTTTGAGCCTGAAGGTCGTGGGTTCAAGCCCACCATGGGACCTTCTCCACCGACTCCCACTGATGACTGCTGTCGTTGTGTCCTTGGGCAAGACACTTAACCCTGCATTGCCTGAAGCCCCCGCTGAAAAATCAAGGCTGTATTGTCACTGACAGAGCAGCCGTCCTCCTGTGGACTCACCACCTGCAGAGGATCAGTGAGGGGCTGGTGCTAAGTGAATTGGGTGCAGCTCTGACTGCCACCCCCCCGACCCAGAAATGGATGAAGGGGAAGAAGATGGATGGATGGATGGATGGGACAACAGCTCAAGCAATGTGCAACAGTGAATCAATTCAAAACAAAATACAGAGAATTTGTGTTATCAAAATCTAGAATGGAAGAACAGGGCAATTCTATAAATTGACCCTAATAAGAATCTGTCTATTTAATGACATTTTGAATTAATTAATGCTTTATTTATTTTTCTCATCAAATTGAATGCATTTCATGCTATAATTTTGTTGTTCTGAATTCAGTTGCCACATTCTTGTGTTGTGTAAATGTATGTATATATAAAATATCGCAACTGATTGTGTTGTAATCAGAGGGGGTGGGAGTACATAAGTACATACTTCTTCTCAATCCCTTTTTGAGTTTTGTATACATTTTTTTGATATATATTATGTATTATTACTAACATGTATTTCTGTTTAATGTAAATACATATAACAATGCATGAACATGTTTAAATGACATTGTAAATATGTAAGCTCGAATAAATCAAATCAAATCAAATCAAATAAAACAAAAGTTGTAGGAGAACATGGACTGGTATGGTAACTGATTATGTGATTGCAACATACAACTATCAAGCAACACAAATAGTGTCCTACACATGTGCTTTTCCCTGAATATGATCTTTTGTACTTCCTCTGGGAGGAGGAACAGAGTGCCTCGGTGCCAACTGAATTGCTAAAAGAACTCATTCATACCTGTTTCAGGGAATCTGTTAAATAAGGACATAAGGAGGTGATGTGTGCGTGTGTATATACAGTATATATAATATATATATATAATATATAATATATATATATATATATAGCCTACGACTCAATGCCACACACATGGATCATGGAATGCTTGACGTTGTACAATATCAACAGGGCTCTAAGGGACTGCAAACTCAATAGAGATGTGGAAGACCACCCTTGAGGCAAATGGCAAGCCGCTCGCACAAGTCACCATCAAATGTGACATCTACCAAGGAGATGCTCTGTCCCCACTGCTGTTCTGCATAGGCCTCAACCCTCTAAGTCAAATAATTGACCAGACTGGCTATGGATACCGCCTCAGGAACGGAGCAAAGATCAGTCACCTCCTATACATGGATGACATCAAGCTGTACGCCAAGAGCGAGAGAGACATCGACTCTCTGATCCAAACCACCAGGATCTACAGCCATGACATTGGGATGTCATTCGGACTCGAGAAATGTAGCAGGATGGTGACTCGGAGAGGCAAGGTAGTCCACACAGAAGGGATCTCACTCCCAGAGGGAACAATAGCAGACGTTGAGGACAGTTACAAGTATCTCGGTATACCACAGGCAAATGGCAACTTCGAACAGACAACGAGGAAAGCGGCAACTGCCAAATACCTCCAGCGAGTAAGGCAGGTCCTAAGAAGCCGGCTCAATGGCAAGAACAAGGCCCGGGCAATTAACAGCTACGCCCTGCCAGTGATCAGATACCCTGCAGGAATAATCAGGTGGCCAAAGGAAGAGATTCAGACCACGGATGTTAAAACTCGAAAGCTCCTAACCATGCATGGCGGGTTCCATCCCAAATCCAGCACCCTGAGACTGAATGTAAGCCGTAAAGAAGGATACAGAGGACTAGTGAGTGTGAGAGCCACTGTCCAGGACGGATGACGTACTCAGTGAATGTCTCTGTCAGTGGCGAGATGAGGAGGTGCTGGAGGAGAGCCCATCATGGGAGGACAAGCCTCTACACGGCATGTACCACCGGAGCATAACAGAAGTGGCTGATCTCAAGAAGTCCTACCAATGGCTAGAAAGAGCTGGCCTACAGGACAGCACAGAGGCACTCATCATGGCTGCACAGGAGTAGGCACTGAGCACCAGAGCGATAGAGGCCCAGATATACCACACCAGACAAGACCCAAGGTGTCGGTTGTGCATAGAGGCACCTGAGACGATCCAACACATAACTGCAGGGTGCAAGATGCTGGCAAGATGCTAACCCTACATGGAACGCCATAACCAAGTGGCTGGCATAGTGTACAGAAACATCTGTGCAGAGTATGGGCTGGAAACCCCGAGGTCTAAGTGGGAAACTCCTCCAAAGGTGGTGGAGAATGAGCGTGCGAAGATCCTGTGGGACTTCCAGATTCAGACCGACTGAATGGTAATGGCGAACCAACCTGACATCGTGGTGGTAGACAAAGGGCAGAGGACAGCCGTAGTGGTGGACATGGGAATTCCAAGTGATGGCAACATTAGGAAAAAAGAACACGAAAAGCTTGAGAAATACCAAGGCCTCAGAGAGGAGCTGGAGAGGGCCTGGAGGGTAAAGGTGCCCGTGGTGATTGGTGCACTCGGGGCAGTGACCCCGAAGCTAGAAGAGTGGTTACAGCGGATCCCTGGAACAACCTCGGACATCTCGGTCCAGAAATGTGCAGTGCTAGGAACAGCAAAGATACTGCACAGAACCCTCAAGCTCCCAGGCCTCTGGTAGAGGACCCGAGCTTAGAGAGGGATAACCGCCCGCGGAGGGCGAAAGCTGAGTGGACAATTTAATTTTTTTATGCACACACACACATATAAAAATTAGCAATCTTGATTTTGAGTATCACCTTTACTAATACAAATATTAAATATATTTGGTAGTTCTAATAGAGGTTTTAGCAATTATGTATTCCCATAATGGAAGCTTGTGTTGATTAAACTTAGGATCGACAATAAAAAATGAAAACATGCGATTAAACATATGAGCTGTATCCAAAACAGAGATACAGTATGCGAGCTGCCACACAGACTCTCTGTCTAATATATTTTTGGGTATATTCTTTTGAACCAATACTCAAACTGCTGATAAGTCCATGTCCCATATGCATAGAAACACTGTGTGATCAGTGTTCCAATCCTTATCCGTGCACCATCCTTGACTCCAAACATTCTACAGTATATTTAGCTAATTTGCATCTGCCGACAGTTACATTCACAAACTTTCAACTCTCCATGCATTTAGTGGTAGGGGAACGCGGAGTACCAAGAGGAAACTTATGCAGACATGGGGAGAACATGCAAACTCCATACAGAAAGGTCCTGGAGGTGGAATGGAACCGAGGAGCTTCTTACTGTGAAGCACAAGTGCTATCCACTGTGTTGCTCAAGACAGGCCAAATACTAAAACTGACTACCCCCTTTTCTTCTGGACCGCTGCCATTGATGCTTTTACTGTTGCTGGCACAGACAATCTTACTCAGCACAATCCTCCTTCAACATGACCCAAACTACTGCGTCATATTTCATTCATGAGCACATGTTTGGAAAATGTCACTCACCAATCTGCTTTTCTTGTCTTGATGCTCTTAGCTGCACTGATCACAAAGAATAGGAGTCTTTGAGCGTATAGTAAAGATGCCTAGAATGAGTCGTGCGAGTGTGAATGGTTGATGTTCGTCTAAGTGACCGATGGCACATACTCATTGCCTCATTTCTGTCAGTGTGCCCCGGGCAACTTTGGCTACAGTAGTAATTTATCACCCCCGTGTGAATGAATAATGACTTTGAGTATTTGAGTGTCCTGGTCTCGAAAAGCACTGTATAAAAATCTATGCATCATTGTATCTGCAAACTTCTGAAAGATTAAAAATGTACAATATCTTGTAATGGACCCTAGTATCGTGTGTCAGTACCAGTACCAGTACTCCAATTATTAATCCTAATCCTTTGCTTGTTGCTGTGGATTCTCATAAATAATATGATGGTCTCAATAGAAAGACTAAAAAAACCAACACACTGTCTTAATTTTGGTGTGTCATCGTTTCCATATTTTTAAAGAGGAGCCTTGTGAGACACTATTTGACAGTTTGTGCGGAGACCTGATTGGCCGCGTGGGGGTCAGCTAAAAGGCAACATAATGCACCATCTTTCAGCGGAAAAGAACAACCCAGGACTGTATCGAGATCAAACCAAGTCCAAGCTTCCTCCTTAGCCCAGACTTGGTGCCAGTCTAGACCTGATGTGTAGTGTGAACAACGCTATATCATCTTGGTCCAAACAGGGTGTTGGTGTGAGATAATGTCACTGGGGATTGGGCATAATACAGGGCACAGCTGTGGGTCTAATGGCTCCATATGAACTACACTCGCACACACACACACACACACACACACACACACACATATAACAGAACTATCCTTTCAAATCAATGATAAAACGGCCCCAAGGTCATTATTATTTATTGTTATATATAATAAAGGGTACATTTCACAACATTAGCAAATAATCTAGAAAAAGAAGGTAACTAAAGTGGTCCCACAATACAAAACTAACTCGATTTTGATACTAATAAAGAAACTAAGCATGTGCTTTCCCGATTGGATAATCCATCTACCAATCAGACTCAAAGAGATACTTGTTTCAACACTCCAAGCATTAGTTTAGATACATTTCAGTAGCCAAACCATCTTTTTGCACACACTGAAATTTCCCCACTGTGGGACAAATAAAGGATCTCTTCTCACATTCACATATTATGAGTTGTTAAACATAAAATATCTATACACATGTCTTTAAGCGTAAGAAATCGCTAAATCGCAGTATTCTTCCTCAGAATAATTTTTACTGAAATGAAATTGTTACATCCCTTTTTTTAGGCAGTCTAGCATATAAGCATAAGAGGCTGTGGTCGAAGAGCGGCTCGAAGATACGACTTGTGGAGAGGGGCGCGATACCGAAGACCTGAAACAACTTGGAATCACTAAAGGCTTTGGAGCAATCATTGGACGCTCTCTTGTTGGCTTCAGCGTGGGTCTCGGGATATTGGTGGGTATTGGCATCTCCAGTACATCTTTTCGCACTGCTAGCTCTCTGGTCAGATCACGTCTTTCTGCTTGCTGTTTTTGAATCACGAGTCTACGCATTGGATTGGATGAAGCTACAGTTGGAACTGGATTTGGCATAGGGATAGAATCTACAATAACAGATTTGGTTATAGCTTTGGAATTTCTTTGCTTTTGCCACTGTGCGAGCAACACTACTTCCTCTGAGCTTTTCTGTTCGTATCGTAGCAGATACTCTGGATATATTTGGTGCTTCTCGAATACGACAAAAATTGATGGGTTTTCCTCGTCATTCACACAGCTGTCGAACAGGTTTACATCTCCAGCATCTTTGGAAGGGGGCCGCCGGAAGTCGGTGGAGCCTTTGGTGAATTCGCCGACCAATACCCGTGACACAAACATGTGGCGCTCATGGGAGGTGCCAGTGTAGCGATGGGAGTAGGAGGCGTCCCGGGCAAAGTAGCTTCCTGAAATGAGAATGACATTCAGTCTGGAAAGCTTGTTAATTTCTAACATTTTGAACAGAGGTAAACCAACTGGTCGGAACTATCTTTTCCCTTACTTGAAGAGTCTTTTAATGTTCTTCCAGACTGTGTTAGTGGGGGGGTCTTTTCTGCAGTGCCAGAAAGGTCCCCCTGCTTAAGCCAGATCAAGTCTTGAACTGTCTAAAGTTTTCCGGTGACCATCTGGATAATCCAGAAGAGGCCTGGTAGAATATTGCAACATCAGATGAGATCAAAGTGGAGCTTTTTGGAGCTCGAGAACAACACAAAAACCCATAAGTCAGAACCCTGCACTGTTGTAAGGATTCACAATTAGAGGTGTGGGAATATAGTGACCCCTTCTACTTCCTCAGGTAGTAGAGGCCTTGTTGAGCCTTCCCCACAGCTGAGACAAGATGCATGCCCCAGGACAGATCCTCTGCCATGGTTACCCACTGGACCAGTGTTGGGTGTAACGCATTACTTTCTTACGCGTTACACTAAAAAAACTACTTTTTACAGGGTAGAGTACAGAAACGCGTTAACTATCAACAATATAGTGACATAACTCGGTTTCTTTTGCTATCCACTGAAACCAAAGGAAGGTTTCTCACCCATCATCTGTACTTCTTAGCAAGTTTTCCCGACGTTTCGTCCTCAACCTGGGGACTTCTTCAGGGAATGAATTCTCGGACCGCGCGTTGGAGATTTATAACCTATGGGTGTGGTTAGCCACACCCTAATCCTGATACTAACTCGTAAACAATCTCAGGTCTGCTTGATGTAGAAGGGGAGCAGGTCTAACGACCCTGCTGAGGCTAACAACCCTAACTCCTTAGCATGTCACAGACCTATTGTCTGCTGGGATGCTCAAGTGGAGTGCAGGTTTCACCCCTCCTAACTCATTAGCATGTCACTGACCTTGTCCCAAGTTAGGGCGTTGTTTTTAGGATGTCGTCATAGATGCGAGGCAAAACAAATCTTAACCCTCCTCCTCTGTTAAGAGAAGGTTTTTGTTTCCTCACAAAAATGGCTTCTTTCACCCCTCTCTCAAACCAATTCTTCTCCCGAGCCAGAATTTTAACCTCTGTGTCATCCACCGTGTGGTTGGAGGCCTTGAGGTGGAGATGAACAGCCGACTGTGGCCCACTAGAGTTTTCTCTACGATGTTGGTAAAGTCGTTTCTGTAGAGTTTGTTTGGTTTCTCCAATATAGTGGTCAGTGCACTCCTCTTCACTACATTTAATTGAATACACCACATTGCTCTGTTTGTGTCTGGGTGTTTTGTCTTTGGGATGCACTAATTTCTGTCTTAACGTGTTGAAAGGTTTGAAATACACAGGGATTTTGTGTTGCCTAAAGATTCTTTGTAGTTTCTCTGAAACTCCCGCCACATACGGTAAGGACACCCCTCTCCTCCTACTTTCTTCTTTCTGTAGGACTGTGTCTCTGGCCTTTCTCGTCCTTTGGGCTTTAGTAAAAGACCACTTGGGGTAGCCACATCTGGAAAGTGCTCTCTGAACATGTTTGGTTTCTCTGTTCTTTCCCTCCGAGCTAGTGGGGACCTGGTGGGCTCGGTGTTGAAGCGTTCTAATGACCCCGAGTTTGTGTTGTAGCGGATGATTCGAATCAAAGGCCAGGTACTGGTCAGTGTGAGTGGACTTTCTGAAGACCTCAGTCTCTAATTGTCCGTTCTCCAGTATGATGACCTTACAATCTAGAAAGGCGAGTTCACTCTCCTTAGCATCCTCGCGAGTGAAATTTATAAAAGGGTCCACCGAGTTAATGTGTGCTGAAAATGGTTCCACTTCCTGTTTCTTTAACTTAACCCATGTATCGTCTACATATCGAAACCAATGGCTTGGCGCTGTCCCTTGGTAAGAGCCCAGGGCTTGTTCCTCCAGTTTCTCCATATACAGATTGGCCACTATCGGAGAGACTGGGGAGCCCATCTTACCACACCCAGGTTATAAATCTCCAACGCGCGGTCCGAGAATTCATTCCCTGAAGAAGTCCCCAGGTTGAGGACGAAACGTCGGGAAAACTTGGGGGCGGCACGGTGGCTGAGTGGATAGCACTCTCGCCTCTCAGCAAGAAGGTCCTGGGTTCGAATCCCGGCCGGACCAGGGCCTTTCTGAGTGGAGTTTGCATGTTCTCCCCGTGTCTGCGTAGGTTTCCTCCTGGCATGCATGACGAAACGTCGGGAAAACTTGGGGGCGGCACGGTGGCTGAGTGGATAGCACTCTCGCCTCTCAGCAAGAAGGTCCTGGGTTCGAATCCCGGCCGGACCAGGGCCTTTCTGAGTGGAGTTTGCATGTTCTCCCCGTGTCTGCGTAGGTTTCCTCCGGGTACTCCGGTTTCCCCTACCACTAAAAATATGTACAATAGGTCTGGCATGCGCCTCCTGTACTGCGACCCCGCTCCCATCTCTGTGTGGAGTGAGAGACAAATGCCCAAAATTAACAATTGTAAACCGCTTTGAGACTCAGATCTGCAGTGAAAAGGCGGTATATAAATAAAAACTTACTTACTTACTTACTTACTTGCTAAGAAGTACAGATGATGGGTGAGAAACCTTCCTTGGCTTTGACTAATCCCTGTACGACTGAGGGCTTACACAAACTTATCCACTGAAACGTTACTTTTTAAAAGTAACTCCCACAACACTGCCCAGGACGATCATAGACCATGAGCAGTCCATGTCGTTTACCTTCAAATAGACTTTTACTCATGCAGAGTAACAATTTTCAAATTTGTATTTGTAGCTCGCTGGTTAAGACAGGTTCATGATCACTGGCCTAACCAGTCTTCAGACCAAACCCAATTGAAAATCTGTGGAGGGAGTATATGTGCCTAAAACTAAAAACTAAACAAAATATATGTTTAGTTTCTTTCAGTCAAAATTAACATAAATAAAAGGGCAATTCAACTGGATAAAATGTGTGCATTGGATAAAGTTAGATATTCAAAATGTTGGAAACCAATTATTTTCACAGTGCAAATTAATACCAGCTCTACATGAATATCGGTTATCAATAATGCGCCTTTTTGAACAGCCCTTCTTGTATTTATTTTGCCTGGATACCAGCTTGTAATTAAATGCAGCTGAAGATTGAGGTTTGTGGCCTCTTAGTGGACAATTTCTTAACTACAGCTCACCTTGGCCATAAGCAGTTCCATTGACTCCGCACACTCTCCAGTCAAAGTTTGTGGCGCAGATGGTATCCACATACTTGGGGTCAGTCCCGTGGAAAAGCTTCTTCTCCAACACTGGTTTTCTACTGTTGTTTTTCATGTGTATCTTTTTGCTTATAAAAAACAATGCAAATCAACCAATATGAAGTTAAGATCCAAAGTAAATCATCAAATGCAGATACTTACAGCTGATAGGCTTCCCACAGGGCCTTGTTCTGGATCCTCTCCAGGTGGAGGATATCACAACTTGTCATGGTCTGAGAGAAAAGCTCCTGAATCTCTTTATATTCCTCTGTAGAGGGCTGCAGACTCACCCTCTGCAAGGAAACATGTATAGTGGAATTTGATAAGGAATTATAAAATCAGGACCATAAATGATATTTCAGTCAGAACAAAATACATAGTAAATATTCACTTTCAAGCAACATGCATATAACAATGAATAGATAAATGAATCAAAATACAATGACCTGAATAAAAGAAGAAATGCTAATTTAGAAATAAATATGGATGTGGTCAGCCCAGGTGGATATTAGAGTTCATTCATTCATTAGAGTATATAATTTAACTGGATGGACAATTTTTCAGTTGTAAAAGTTTGATGTAGAAGCAAATGAACAAAACCTGAAATATATAGTGTCTTTACCTTGAATCCGGTTTGAGGGAGCTGTGTTTTGTCCCAGTAATCAGGAATAGAGGTTGGACGTTTTCTAGAATATATTAAAAAAAAATTGTACTTTTAATACAAAATTTAAGTTTTCGGTTTATTTGCCATTTGCAGTAAAACCACATGGGAATACAATGTAATACAGGGCTTTTGCCAAATTATGTATACTTTCCATGAAAAACTACAGGCTGGGAGAGTGAGAATAAAAGTGAAGAAATATGATGCACCCCGGCCTTAACAATTAACATTTCCAGAACCATCAGTTGTTTTCTGAGAGTCCTTAATAGTATTTGTACAGCACACCACCACAATGATAAGTTTCATGTAATTGATAGGGGTGGGAACCTCAAGGTGCCTCACGATACGATATGATACGCGATACAAAGCTCACGATAACGATTATATCACAATAACAATTATATAACAATATGACGATTATAGATATATTGGTCATAAATATACCATATGCCAATTTATGGCATAAATAAAAGAAAAATTTTAACTGAAAAAATACACTTTATTTCATGATAAATGGAATGAAGATGCGTAATGTAGCCATATATTAAGTATTGATACCAATTAAAAAAAATATATATATATATATATATAAAATATATATATATATATTAGTGCTGTCCAACGATTAAAATATTTAATCGCGATTAATCGCATGAATTTCATAGTTAACTCGCGATTAATCGCAAATTAGTCACACATTTGCGTGCTGTGTGCAATTGCTTTTTTTATTGAAAACAATGTGTAGTGTTATATTACACACTAACATTTGATGCAAAATCATCAATAAATGGATGACAAAATAAATAATTGGTAACAAAAAGCCCCTTCAATGTGTGTGTGTGGTGTGTGTGTGTGTATGTGTGGGTATAGACCATAGACTGTATAGAAACATCATGGTGTCATTATGATGATGATAAACAATCTGTAAATATTTTGTAAATTTGTTCATGTAAATACTCTATGCTGTTTCTCTGTTTACCTTCGGTATATCTATGACTGTATACTGTTTGCTTGTATTGCCTTTTTTATTAACCCCTCCCCCCATCTCCCACTTCATGGACTTCAACGCCCACAGACACGCCCCCCTAATCTGAACCAGAGTGGTATTGAAGATGGATTGAGAGACTCCAGAGGCAGCTGTCCAATAGCAGGACAAGTGTGCTGCCTTTCAAGCTGTTGCAGAAGAAGAAAAAAAAAAAAAACAGAATTGGAGGAATTTGAATTGTTCATGGGGCAGGCTGACCGATAGCAGCCTCATTCCGGAAAACCATCTTGTGCCACAGGTGGGAAGATGCAGTGCTTTTTCTCAACATTGTTTATATTGCAGGTAGAGAGTAACCAATCTTGAGCAATAGAAGAAATCCTTTGCGGCTTCCCAATCTTCCCTTCACATTAGGGGTGGGAACCTAAGGTTACCTTCGATACGATACACGATACAAAGCTCACGATAACGATATTATCTCGATAACAATATTGCACGATAACAGTATTTCACGATAACAATATCACGATAACGATTTTAATCACAATAACGATTTTATCACGATATGACGATTATTGATATATTGGTCAGAAATATACAATATGCCAATTTATGGCATAAATAAAAATTAAAAAACACTTTATTTCATGATAAATGGAATGGAGATGCATAATGTAGCCATATATTAAGTATTGATACCAATTAAAAAAAATATATATATATATATATATAAAATATATATATATATATTAGTGCTGTCCAACGATTAAAATATTTAATCGCGATTAATCGCATGAATTTCATAGTTAACTCGCGATTAATCGCAAATTAGTCACACATTTGCGTGCTGTGTGCAATTGCTTTTTTTATTGAAAACAATGTGTAGTGTTATATTACACACTAACATTTGATGCAAAATCATCAATAAATGGATGACAAAATAAATAATTGGTAACAAAAAGCCCCTTCAATGTGTGTGTGTGGGTGTGTGTGTGTATGTGTGGGTATAGACCATAGACTGTATAGAAACATCATGGTGTCATTATGATGATGATAAACAATCTGTAAATATTTTGTAAATTTGTTCATGTAAATACTCTATGCTGTTTCTCTGTTTACCTTCGGTATATCTATGACTGTATACTGTTTGCTTGTATTGCCTTTTTTATTAACCCCTCCCCCCATCTCCCACTTCATGGACTTCAACGCCCACAGACACGCCCCCCTAATCTGAACCAGAGTGGTATTGAAGATGGATTGAGAGACTCCAGAGGCAGCTGTCCAATAGCAGGACAAGTGTGCTGCCTTTCAAGCTGTTGCAGAAGAAGAAAAAAAAAAAAAACAGAATTGGAGGAATTTGAATTGTTCATGGGGCAGGCTGACCGATAGCAGCCTCATTCCGGAAAACCATCTTGTGCCACAGGTGGGAAGATGCAGTGCTTTTTCTCAACATTGTTTATATTGCAGGTAGAGAGTAACCAATCTTGAGCAATAGAAGAAATCCTTTGCGGCTTCCCAATCTTCCCTTCACATTAGGGGTGGGAACCTAAGGTTACCTTCGATACGATACACGATACAAAGCTCACGATAACGATATTATCTCGATAACAATATTGCACGATAACAGTATTTCACGATAACAATATCACGATAACGATTTTAATCACAATAACGATTTTATCACGATATGACGATTATTGATATATTGGTCAGAAATATACAATATGCCAATTTATGGCATAAATAAAAATTAAAAAACACTTTATTTCATGATAAATGGAATGGAGATGCATAATGTAGCCATATATTAAGTATTGATACCAATTTAAAAAAATAATTTGTAAAGAATTCAAAATCGATATCGATACTTGGCAAATGCATATCGATAATCGAATCGCGGGAGAAAGTATCGCGATATATCGATACTATAATCGATACTTTCTCGCATCGTCACACCCCTACTTCACATCATTCAATTTGGAGGGAAAAGTTGAGGATCTTTAGACAGATTACTTAATGTCACTGAGGTTGTTGGCGGAGGCCAAGGGGTCAAGGGGCTATCAGGGACTTCACCTACCCAAGGCCATGGAGCTTGACCGCAAAACAGTTCCATGCCCTCTCCAGGTGGGTAGAGAGGTCATTCCTCTCAAGTCCCACAATCCAGAAGTGGATCAATAATACGGACGGATCTCTTTTTGAATGGTTATGGTTTCAGGTTATTTTTTAAATTATTGTTTTATTTCAAGTCCACTGGTAAATTTCACGACTTAATTTTTCCCTTCCATACCTTTCCTCCCCATTTCCTCAGCAGTAAAAATCTGTCCAACAGCCTTGAAAAAGAAAAAAAAGAGCAAACCATAGGATATACTATTGATCAAGTGTGTGTACTCCTCTCTTTGGCACTTATTTTACATGAAAAACATGACCGAGGTCATTCATACATAAATGCATTTTAGGGGGAATTTTTAACACAGCTTTATGTTTTTGCAGTTTGAAAATTAGGTACACTGGTTTTATCATTCAAAAATTCCTCTATAGTTTCTAACCAGCAACAGTAGAAAGCAGAATGTGACATGTACTGAAAAACTTTTCTCACAATTCTTTCATTCATCATTCACTTTCTACCCCTTTATTTGTCCATCTCTGGGTCAGGGGGGTGACAAGGAGATCTGCCACCCAGTGCTCATAGCACCACCCTCGCTGATCCTCTGCAGGTGGTGAGTCCACAGGAAGATGGCTGCTACGTCAATGGTGCCACAGCCTTGCTGGTCTTTCAGCAGGAGCTTCAGGCAATGTCGGGTAAGTGTCTTGCCCAAGGACAACGACAGCAGACATTAGTGGGAGCAGTTGGAGTAGGTTCCGTGGTGGACTCGAACCCACGACCTTCAGGCCCAAAGGCCAATGCTCTACCAACTGAGCTAATGTCGCCCGCAAGTTTCATAGTTCTAACTTTCGAAAATGAGATACAGTGCCTTGCGAAAGTATTTGCACCTTTCAACATTTCCCCACAATTCAGGCTTCAAACATAAAGATATATAATTTTAATTTTTTGTCATGAATCAACAACAAGTGGGACACAATCGTGAAGTGGAACAAAATGTATTGGATAATTTAAACTTTTTTAACAAATAAAAAACTGAAAAGTGGGGCGTGCAATATTATTCTGTCCCTTTACTTTCAGTGCAGCAAACTCAGTCCAGAAGTTCAGTGAGGATCTTTGAATGATCCAATGTTGTCCTAAATGACTGATGATGATAAATAGAATGCACCTGTGTGTAATCAAGTCTCCGTATAAATGCACCTGCTCTTTGATAGTCTCAGGGTTCTGTTTAAAGCACAGAGAGAACCATGAAGACAAAGGAACACAACAGGCAGGTCCGAGATACTGTTGTGGAGAAGTTTAAAGCCGGATTTGGATACAAAAAGATTTCCCAAGCTTTAAACATCTCAAGGAGCACTGTGCAAGCAATTATATTGAAATGGAAGGAGTATCAGACCACTGCAAATCTACCAAGACCGGGCTGTCCCTCCAAACTTTCATCTCAAACAAGGAGAAGACTGATCAGAGATGCAGCCAAGAGGCCCATGATCACTCTGGATGAACTGCAGATAACTACAGCTGAGGTGGGAAAGTCTGTCCATAGGACAACAATCATTCGTGCACTGCACAAATCTGGCCTTTATGGAAGAGTGGCAAGAAGAAAGCCATTTCTCAAAGATATCCATAAAAAGTCTTGTTTAAAGTTTGCCACAAGCCACCTGGGAGACACACCAAACATGTGGAAGAAGGTGCTCTGGTCAGATGAAACCAAAATCGAACTTTTTGGCCACAATGCAAAACGATATGTTTGGCGTAAAAGCTCATCACCCTGAACACACCATCCCCACTGTCAAACGTGGTGGTGGCAGCATCATGGTTTGGGCCTGCTTTTCTTCAGCAGGGACAGGGAAGATGGCTAAAATTGATGGGAAGATGGATGGCGCCAAATACAGGACCATTCTGGAAGAAAACCTGTTGGAGTCTGCAAAAGACCTGAGACTGGGACGGAGATTTATCTTCCAACAGGACAATGATCCAAAATATAAAGCCAAATCTACAATGGAATGGTTCACAAATAGACGTATCCAGGTGTTAGAATGGCCAAGTCAAAGTCCAGACCTGAATCCAATCGAGAATCTGTGGAAAGAGCTGAAGACTGCTGTTCACAAACGCTCTCCATCCAACCTCACTGAGCTCGAGCTGTTTTGCAAGGAGGAATGGGCAAGAATTCCAGTCTCTTGATGTGCAAAACTGATAGAGACATACCCCAAGCGACTTGCAGCTGTAATTGCAGCAAAAGGTGGCGCTACAAAGTATTAGCGCAAGGGGCCGAATAATATTGCACGCCCCACTTTTCAGTTTTTTATTTGTTAAAAAAGTTTAAATTATCCAATAAATTTCGTTCCACTTCACGATTGTGTCCCACTTGTGGTCGATTCTTCTTGAATACTTTCGCAAGGCACTGTATGTAGAAGAATAATCCCTCGCAATGCAGAATGTATCAAAAATGCTTTAAATATCTGACCTAAAACAAGAGAGCCAAGAGACCACCCCAATCATGTGGGTTAGAAATGCGGGGGAAACATTAGTCGTTTCCCCCGCCCCCTAAATGTAGAGAATGAGTCGAATACCTGGTGGTCTGGACTTCCACTGCAGATACAAAGCGCGGCCGCCTCCTCACCAGTCTCTTAGTCTTAAACTTTAGGTTGGTCTGAATCATGTCTGAGAACAGAGACACAAGGAGGATCATACGTTGGCTACTTGACAATTTTAAATTCCAGTATACACATTTACTGTACCTTGGAAACTGATAGAATACGTATGCGATCCCGCAGTAAACTCCACTGCCTCCTGATCCTTCTGCACATATATTTGCTCCAGTTGTGTGCTGCTGATACTGGCCATTCGGTGCTCACTCGTCTGACATCATACAAGAAAGCGTCACACACAATTGAGTAAGGATATAGATCAGACATGGGCAAACTTTTCCTCCTGAGGGCCACATTGGAAATTAGGTCCGGATCCCGACAGCCGTCTGATATTCCAATGTTTTCCTCAGGCTTCATTTTAAAACATAAATGTATTGTTTATATGAAAAAAATAGCTCTGCACACAGCACAGAGGGGGATTGTATGATGTTTAAACTGAAATCACCCCACTGTGGGATGAATAAATGTTCTTGTTCCTAATCCCTCTTGATCTTATTCTTAATCTACAAAAATTGAGGAGGGTTTAGGGGCCTGATAGAAGCATCCAAAGGGCCGCATCTGGCCCAGGGGCCGGGGTTTGCCCACCAGTGATATAAACAATGCAAAACCACCAAATGAAGCCCACTAGAGAAACGCTCACAGAACAGAGGTTGCTCCAACTTGCTCTGGCTCTTTTTGACTTGAAAAGTAACTGGTCTATCTCAGTAAACGTTTGTGTCATTCTCACATTAAAAGCATGTTAAAAACAGGTTCACTTGCATCTGCCCCTGTGACAGCACGTAGGTCACCCCATGGTAAAAAATGCCCATAAGAAATTCGGCTACAGCTAGTTATGTTCCAATCAGTTTCTTTTGCATTTCGCAAACACTATGGGTATCGTCAGCACGTTTACCTGTGTCGTTTACAACAGCAGGACCAGGTTTTTGGTACACAACAAAGTGACAGGTAGCAGTGTATATTCTTGTTCTAATCCCAAATTAGATCAGGTGAATCAGACTTAAGTCGCTATAAGACTCAGACTCGACTCAGACTCAATCACTGTATATTGGATTTGAGAACTGAACGGCCCCTGATCTAAAAGAGCGAGATATTGTCCCAGTGAGGGAGAGGCAGAGCCACTTTGACATCAGCGTGGCGGTCGGTACATGACCAGTGCGCAACAGCACCACTGAGGAGACAGTTGCAAATGTGAGTCTCTGTGTGCAGCCAGTACACACCACAAATACAGAGAAAAACCCACCTGGATCATTGGGAGCGATTCCATGTCTTCCCCCTGTTTTCCTCCTACAGCATGCACTCCATACTGACACTTAAACTCTGACCAAAATTAGAGGCTAAACATTGGATCAGTATCAGCTGAGGAACATGTAAATTACCAGTATATCTTAGGGCCATGATGAAAATATATACCCATCCAAAACTCACTAAATTAAAGCAGATTATACTATTGATCAACTAGTGTAATGATCTATGCTAGATTTTCTTTCAAATCATCTGTTAGCGATTTTTAGCTGGCCTTGTGTCATAATTTTATTCAGTGTAAAACGATGAGACTTGGACTTGACTTGGACTTGCGAGTCAGAGACCAATGTAAAAGATCTCATGACAACCAGAAGGATTGGACCAAAGACACCATCAATAACGCACACGTCTGCAATGGTCATCTTATATCAGGTATGTGTGGTTCATTAAATAATTGTTGGCAAAACCATATTTAATCCCTTGTCCGTCACTCACCAAAGCAGCATACTGGTACCACTTGCCATACTCGTCCTCCCAGTACCAGAGCCAGTCTGTGGTGTGGATGAAGTCCGGCTGCAGCACAGAGTTCACAGTGGAGAGACGCCTCACTTCATTGGAATTACATCTCATGGTGTCGAAGTGCACAGGAGGACTGGTCGAGCTGCGGGGATGGGAAACACATTACCACTAACATACTTTACCTCAACAGCTATTCAAAAATAAAAATAGGAATGAAAGGATATTTGAACAGTATACATTCTACATTGTAAATATGTTCATGGACTATCAGATACCATACAATGATCCAGAAAACTGTTCATTGTGACTAATTATTGTGATTCTGATTACTTTGTGTGAAGTAATTATCACCTGTATGTTTTCAGAGGGTCACAGTAGTCTCTCTCAATGCTCTCGTTATCAGCCATGTGAGTCCACTGCCCGTCCTGCTTGATCTCCCAGCGGTACGGCATCTTGTCATGAGCTTTGAAACAGCGATCTGTGTGCAGGATAAGGTTAAATCAGGTTTGGCAAACTTTAAGTTAGAACAAAGAGTACCCTGGCTCACCTTCATGTTTGCAGTGTCCTTTGATGAAGAACATGCAGATCTCACTTTTATCTGAGAATGGAAAGTTTTTCAAACAAGTTATATAAACACATTTTTAATTGGCCAGAGTTGCATGCAGTCTGTTATCCAACTTGTCTTTGTATTTGCTCTTAGTAATAATTGTCATAAAGATGTTCACTGCATATCTTGATGTTTATTCATCAAACTGTAAGTTCCATTTCCTCCCTCCTGACCGCCAGTGGGCGGTTCATAGCACTGAATGTTCCCTTTGCGCATGCACTGCGTAGTATTACAAAATGAGTCACACCTATGACCCCATGGCTGACGCAGTGGTGGCAATGACGATAAAGACAGAGTCCTTATAGCTTCTATTTGGTCTGTCTCTTTTTAGTGGTCACTTTGAGGTTTTGTTTTTGTGACAATTCGCTTCTGTTGAGACAGCAGTCAGTTTAGGGTTTAGTTTCTGTGTGTATTAATGTAAAGATTAGACTAGGTTTTGTTTTGGTAGCATTGAGATACCCCCTTATGTCCTGTATTGTGTGCCTTTGATATATGTCTACTTATCATTTCCATTCTTGGCTTTTTGTTTCCTCCCTTACCCTAGCAGAGCTGGGTTGTAACAAACATAATCAATGAGTCTTCTGCCACCCTGGAAAGCCAAGTTCCAGCTTTTTCCCTCTTGGACTTGTTGTTGAAACTGTTTTTGTTGACTGGTTTAAAATTGACAATTGTTTCTTGTACTTTTTAGCTTTGTGTACTTGCCTGGTGCATACTCAAGTACTTTTGCACATACAGTACGTGTACTGCGAATGGACAATAAACTGGATCTGAAATAACAGGACACTTCACTTCTTTGTCTCTGGGGATGCCTTCTACCAGCATCTCCATCCTCGTTGGACTCCACAGCTCCCAGGAGATCGCCGCAAGACACCGCTCTTCTTGACAGACTACGGCCAGCCTGTTTATTTACCAGCCTCAGCGCCTCCTTGTTGATGTACAGGGACTTTAAGGAGGGGAACAGGTGCTGTGGGATAAGTCTGTCCTGGAGCAGCTTGAGGGGCTGGGGGTCGAGGAAGTCGTGTGCCCTGAAGCAGCTGCAGTCTCCACTCAAAGCCTTCTCGCAAATGTGGAGACGATGGCAACTCGCACTGCACTGGCCGCTCAAATTGTTGTTGTACTCATAACAAATCTAGCACAGAAACAAAAAAGTCAAGCAGAACATTTGGGACAAGAATGCACATTTGCAGAAAAAAGAAGGCAGAAGGATATAAAGTACGTTTCATACGTGACTGCAACTCAATGGTGTTCTGAAATGTCCCCACTGTGGGACAAATAAAGGATGTCTTAATCTTAATCTTTATAATGCACAAAACAAAATCATGACTAGTTTACTTTTGTGTAACACTACAAGATTGAGCAATTAAATGAGCAACAGCGTTCAGAAACTTGTGAACCACAACAACAAGCAAATACTGACATCCAAAAGGAAACATTCAGACATAGTGACAAGTCATTTCATTTTTCTGGCGTCATTTTCATGCAGTTATTTCTCTGTAAACATGGCCAAATCTAATGCAGTGCCACTGACCTGTGGCAGCAGTGTGACATCACTTTGCAACAGGAGGAGACAAAGCTCGGTCCTTGTCAGAGTCTCCAGTCCATACGCCTTCAGAACCCTCATGTTGTGGGTCGAATTCAAGTCATGTGAAAACAGACATCCTCTCCTCCTGCTGTAGGACACAACACACGGCTCACTTTGCATCATCCTATATCCCAAACATGAATATTGTTGTCATGTTCTACCATTTCTTGACTTAACAGAGAATTGGTGGATAATAGGGACTATCCTGGTACTGGTCTGTGGGAAACCACCTTATGTATTAGGCTATCGCAGGGCCTTTATCCCCACCGCTGTCAGACTGTACAACAAGTCACTTTAAGTCAAACCTGCTCTACCATTGACACTGTTTCTGATTGCCACTTTTAAATTGCCACTTTTTTATTGTACATAACATATCCTGCATTTAACATGTTTGCACATTTCCTCTCTTTTTGCACAATCTGAGTGTTTCTATCCATGCCAAATGTGACATGTATATTTCTCCTTTGTGAGATAAATAAAGCATATCTTATCTTATCTTAAAGCTTGCATCCAAACTAGATCACTCATTCATCAATACTGAGAATGAAAAAATAAAATCATATCGACCGCCAAAGTTTGAGATTAGAACAATAACTAAAACTGTGGTACCATAAAGCGTAGTAGAACTACTTATGTTAAGATTTTTAGCTCTTTCTCCAAATATATCTTCATGTCACCACAGTGGTGTCGAAATATAGACAAGTCTTTTCATTAGTACTAAGAATACAAAATTGTTTGTAATTTTGGTGATAAAACTAGTCAAAGCAGAAGGTAACAAACTGTTCACTTTTCCTACAGTGAAGGCTACCAAAATAGAAACAAGAGCTAAAACAGTGCCAGAAAATAAACTGCCAATTGGCTCTGATTTTTCCCCCAACAGAGCAAATGATGTTATAAGTTATTAAAATATGGCTTGATAAAAGGCATTCGTGATCTCCATGTTCCAGTGCCACCTGTACCATGCTTATCTGCAGAGGGCAAAGGTAAAGGGTTTATGAGTTTAAAGGAAAACACAACAGCAGACACACTAATGTTTGTGAAATGAGAAACTTAAATGACATCTCCTACACTACCCAAATACTGTCCACAAAAAGGGAAAAGAAAACAAACAACCCACATTAGGACAGTTCAAACACAGGTATATCCATCCACAAAAGCAAAATAAGACCTTCTCAAAAAAGGAAAAAGCACGGTTCTGAAAAATTACAGAGTGTCGAGAAAAGAACGCAGAGAAAGGACTGGAATGTCAAGTCTCATTACCATATATTGTATTATAGAAGTGGACTGACTGAGGCTGACGTCCCATTGCGTTTGCAGAATGTGAAAGTACTGTAGCCGGGGCAGGACAGTTGAGAACATGAGGCCTGTTGCTAGAAGCTGGTTTGGTGCATGTTAGGGGAAAGTAGAGGAACCCAGAGAGAGCCAATATTGTGTAAAATACGAAGCCGATATGAGTAGTGTTTCCTACAGGTGCAAAAAAGGAAGATTCATTTGGCATTTTTGTGAGTGTTAGGACAAGAGGAAATTTTTCGAGATAGCCAAGGTCTTCTTTCATTTTCAAGCAACTATCTTTAAGAAAGGTTTTCCGCTGGCTTTAGCTACCAGTGCCAACATATCAAGAATGACAGTTACAGTCACTGGGTTTTGTGGCTTAAATAATGTGATTTGTGTAATTGTTATTGGGGGTTTTTTAATGGCAGTTTAGATTTATTACCATGAAAGTTGTGATGAATTTAGCACAATGCTCTGTTGCCACACAGGTCACTGCTGGTCCCATCATTGCAGAGCATGTCCTGCCAGAGCCTCCACCTGTCTTCCTCTCTCGTACTATTTTATTTTAGCTTTGGGACTGGTGTCAGTGTCGTTCATTTTGTTGACCGGTGCTGGCTGATGTTGCACTATGTTGTTGTACTCCCTTTATATTGGTTTTCACATTATTTTTGCAGTTTGATTATATTAAATCATACAGACCTACAGTATGAACATATCACATTAACACATTTATGCATTCACTCAATCTGATCTTTTGGCAACTTTTTGCAGGCTCATTGGCTGCTGGTTCAATGTGGAACTTTGACATATTCTTCATATTTTACCATAATTATTTTTTGTTGCTACACACAGCTTGTTTTATTCTTGGTTGTTCACTGTTCATGGTAGCTTTTATGCAAAGACACATGCAGAGCAATGGTTTGAACCCGGGCTAACTCTGAGTTGACAGATACTGTTGAAAGATGGCTTCTAGCAACGGATTAACCCAAAAAGGTGAATTGACACATTCCTAGTTTGATATCACCATTTCTAGACATTATATAAGACTGTTTTATGGATCTAAGACAAATATAATTTTATTAAAAAAACCTTTTGGCCGTCTTAAGTAGAAGTACGAGTCGTAAAATTTCTACTGGTTATTCTCATTAGTATTTGTATTTACCACAATAATTACTACAGTATTCCTCCCTATAGAATTTACCATATTTACCACAGAATTTACCATGACATTTACCACAGAATTTACCATATTTACCACAAAATTTACCATGATATTTACCACAGAATTTACAATATTTATAACAGTATTTGTATTTACCACTGTATTTACCATAGTACTCATCCTCATTGTATTTACCATGATAATTTCCATATTTTCGCACCTAGCATTCATCATAGTATTTCCTATGATATTTCCCATGATATTTACCACAGTATTTACCATGATCTTTTCCATATTATTCCCCATAGTTTTCATCATTGTATTTAGTATTTACCTAAGTATTCCCCACAGTAGTAACCATATACTGTTTATATAGTATTTACCATAGTATTTACCTGAGCTGGCTGAACTGGCACACTCCGGACATGAGGAAGCTTTTACACAGGTGCAGATCCGCGCAGCCCAGGCACTCTCTGACCCGGCACAGCTTCACCTGGGTCCGGGCCACCACCTTCGGAGTGCCGCTGACAGAACACGACACCAGCTTGTCATCTCTCCCCAGCAGCTGCAGCAGGGTGGAGGCGTCGCACAGGTTGAACAGCAGGTCCTGGGTGACCACTGCTCCTCCGGTGTTCAGGATGTATTTCAGGATGTCCGTCTCCATGGTGGGGCGAGGCAGATGTGGTCAGTGCGGAAGAAGAGGACCAATATCATTGCCCGGAAACAAAGTAACATTTATGACCCCATATGAGGCTGGTGCAGGTGAGAGCCACCAGAGGGCGCTGTTGTGAAGCAAAGAGACAATGGGACAAATCTCCCAGTATCACTTTCCGTTCTCAGGATATGCTCTTTGTTTATCTATTTTTGAGCAGATATTGTTAAAGCGGAATCTGTTTGTATTTTTTTCTTTAAAAAAACGTTTTATTTTGAGTTTGGATAGTTTGGATAATTGAATATTTAAAATGTGTTGTAGACATTATTTAAATTTAGATTATTTTTGCTGCTGCAAATGTCACATGACCTCCTCGGAGACGCCATCTTTGATGGCACGCTGCTGTGTTTGTGCATTCCATTAAACAGAAGAATGAGAATAAATGTAGATATTCAAACGCAAATTGGAAAAAAAGGGCAACTTTTGAGCAAATAATTGTATATTAATACAATGGCACCACAGTTTAACGTGCTACGGACATGTTTTACATATTTGATCAAATTATGCAGCAAAAATTAACAAGCAATGCAAACATTTCTCAAAAACTTTAGATTTAATACCAGTTGGAGCTCCATTTAATTATTTTAACAATTAATTTAATTAATGCTAATGCCACACGGACACTCTGGATTGCTGTTATTGTTTATTTCCGCGTTTTTGACCGTATGTTTTGGTGAATGGTGGGCAACTGATTTTTCCAGGCGTAAAGAGCAGTTTATTTTATGACACAGATCTTTTTACAGAAGCAATGCTGTTTGTGGACATTGTTTTAGCCCACCATAGAACTATTATTATCTATTTAATACATTTACGTTGCCCTCGAGAGCCTCGGACGCGACACCGATCCTCCTCATAATAAAGTAATCTAAATAATGAAACTCTCAAGTTACCAGATATCAGCATACACAAGTTAGTACTGAGTAAATTACGTCTGTCAACACATTATAAGATACGATACGCACCTGACACAAAGTGCTCCGAGCATATTCTTGCGTGTTTTGAGGGAGTTTCTTGCCTGTTTATCTTCGCAAGCCATAACCTCCGTGGTTGTTCTGACAAAAGCTTAGTCTTCTCACATTCATGAAGTCTAATGATGGGTATACTGTAAAATCCAAGTTTAACGGAACCTCCGGCACGATTTGAACATCCATTGACCCAGCAGGAGATGACCATTTTCAACTTTATCACGACATTAACACGTTTCAGCTTCTTTTTCTATTGTTTTGCCCACAGAATGCCAAGACAAATGGCGCCGGGTCGGCAAATCCCCGTATGTAGTGACGTCATGTGGGAACTATGTATAGAGGGATCCTACGGTCACGTGACTAGAAGCCACGGCAGCCATACTGGAGGAAAACCTCGGCGAGTAACAGCCCTGCTAGCTATCTATAACTGGACGTCCAAAACTAGAACTCTCTCGAACTACATGAAAACTGAACATAGAATTTGAAACTTCAGCAGTTAGTGACCCAAATATATACTCAACCTAAATTCATGAATCAGATCCTCTGAAAATGCGTCCTAAAATGTATTATTAATGTTTATTGTTACATCCAGGTTTACCGCGGTTGCATATTGTCGCATTAAAACAGTGTTTTTTCATGAAAACGTGAACAGAAAATTCTGAAAACTTCTGTGCACGTGTATTAAGAATGTATATGTATAATGTATTCTCCGATTAACATTTAATGTGTTTATTGTTACACCATGGATCTATGTGTGGCTACACTGCAGTGGAAATAATGAGATTACATTCAAATCAATGGAGCTTTCTGCGTCTACTGTGAGGAGCCGTATATTTTATTAATAAATACTAGTACGGGGCACCCTGGAGCACGGCTCAGTCGTTCACATGTCTGCTGGCCTTCGGTAAGTAAGTAAGTAAGCAGTTTATCCTTAAACTTCTGTTTGTTTCGGAATAACACTAAATCCGCCATCAAATTGATTTCACTTAGCAGAAATGAAATGATCCGAGCATATTCGGGCGCTCTGGGGGCTATTAGTTTTTTGTTGTTGCGTATGGTTGTGCCATTTCTCTCTCGTTTCTTTGAGATGTCTTCTGTTTTTGAGCCGTGTGAAGTAAGGACGGCTGGCAGTCGGTAACACAGCTTATTTTCCCTGTCTCTCTTTTTGCTGCAGCCAAAAACGGCAAAAATTTTGAACATGTTAATGCGGTCCCGGGTGCACGCCACTATCATACAGCGTTTGCTTGTCCTCCAGTATGGCGGATGCCCCGCGAGGTCGAGGCATCGTGACGTCACGTGAGATATCTCTATTAATGTTGGCGTGTGTGTTTTGTATGATTGTTTATATATATATATATATATATATATATACATTTTATTGTACATTCATTTTGTCCATTGTGCTTTGGAGTGGCTTGGAGTATATAGACCCCAGGAAGAATAGCTATTGATTTTTTCAGTAGCAAATGGGGATTTGAATAAAAACTTAGTTAATCTGTATTTCATCCCTGGCAAATCCCACATACATGATTCAACCTCTTTTCAAAATATTCCAAAAACAAAATGAGTCTATGTAAGCAAAATACTCACACTATTTGAAACTATTTGAATCCATCCTGTTTCTTGTGCTTATTCAAGGATTGAAGAACAACCCTACCCCAGCCACACACTGGTTTCATGGTGTCCTTTTGTGGTAGTTAATGACTATTTTGATTAAGTTTGATAGTATAATGATAAGGATTTTTACTATCGGCTATTTAAAGATCAACTAAACAAATTAAACTATACTCACGCAACTAAACTACCTGACTACCTGTGACTACACTAGAAACGCTACGCTAAAGAACTAACTAAATACTAAGCTAATAAATTGCTAACCTGAAAATCGATGTAAAATGCTCGCTCACAATTCCAACTCCAACTCGCTACGGGGGCGTGTCAGAGACACAGGCTTTATAGCAGAGGCTCAGGAAGACCTGCGTCACAGAAAACTAGGGAACTCAAGAGCCAATGGAGAGTCCAGGAACGAAATTCAAATGTAGTGACACGGAAAACCATAGAGAGGGCGCCACACAGACGGTTTAGGCTCAAAAGTGATATTTTAACTATATATATGGCCAGGACATGTAGGGAGCACTATAGGAAACATATATAGGCAGTGTATAAGTAAAAAAAAGTTGATTTGGTGTTTAGTTACTCTTTAAGTTATTAAAAAAAAAAATTTCAAATACTGCTTTACTGTTGTACTGACTGGTACTTAAAAGCTGGTACTTTTGCCCCCTGTGCTTTTAGGAAAGAACTAGGGATGTAAATCGGCGACCGGTTAACCGGTGGTTGACCGTCACAGCGTTAACCGGTCAAAGCTGTCGGTTAAAAAAGAGAAAAAGGGGAGAGGGGAGGTCTCTTAATAACGCTATTTTAAGCCCTATTTGCACGGTGTGACGAGCGGGTCCCTATCTAGCTGTGTGCGCCCATGTATTATAAACTCCGGGACGACTCTCACGCTGCACGAGCCACATATGCACACACGCGCGCGCACACACACACACTTTCCCCCTCTCCATACGTAACATCCACACGCATCATCTCTCGCCTCTGTTACCGTCAAAGCACACTGGCGCGGGTCAGAACTACATTGGAGCTTACATTTACACACACACACATATACATACACACACATATACATACACACACACACATACACACACACATACCGGTCTGTCGCGCTCCTCTGTGTCACGGAGCCCAAAGGATTCGCGCAAATACGCGGCTCCAGTAAAACAACATGGAACATGTTTGTGTTTATGGTCCTCGGGATCAGCTCCACACACATCACTTGTATTTAAACTTTTGTGAAGACCTGTGAGACGCGGCTCGTCACTCGCTGCTCTGACCATGTGAACGAGACATCGTTTGCTGCTAGAAAGTTTTGGTATTAACCCGCAGCACAGAAGAATGGGAAGATTAAAAAAGCAGTTCTCTGTGCGCAAAGATGCCGGAGCTGTTGTGGGTTTTGGCGCCGCTGTCTCGGCTCTGATCCAGTAGAACGCAGAGCTGCACTTATGAGAAGTACGCGGCTCGAAATGGCTGTTATTTCAAAGAACGTGGACTATTTTAAACTACGCGGTTAACCGGTTTCAACCGTTAATGAGGCTCGGTGGTCGGTCATGAAAATTCATAGTTTTTTACATCCCTAGAAAGAACAAAATGTATTAACTATTAACAACTAAAAATATATTATATATTCAAAGACTGAAAATAATTACGTACTGCCAAATAAAGTCTAATGTTTCAATATAATCTTTAAGATCATTCTCCAATAAAGAATAATCAGCTTTGATTAACCTGCATTCAAGCCTCATAAGTGTTAAGTTTTCATGTTATAAATAAATATTTATAACGACACCACCCTCATTGGACTCATCTCCAACAACGATGAGTCCGCCTACAGGAGGGAGGTGGACCGGCTGGTGTCGGTGCAGTGGTAACAACCTGGAGCTGAACGCCCAGAAGACAGTGGAGATGATTGTGGACTTCAGGAAGAGCACTGTCCCCCCGCCCCCACCCTCCCTGATGGACTCCCCCATCACCTCTGTGGAGTCCTATCGTTTCCTGGGCACCACCATCACCCAGGACCTCAAGTGGGAGCCGACCATCAGCTCCCTCATCAAGAAGGCCCAGCAGAGGATGTACTTCCTGCGGCAGCTCAGGAAAGCCAAGCTGCCTGCACAGATGTTGGTGCAGTTCTACACGGCCATCATCGAGTCCATCCTCACCTCCTCCATCACCGTGTGGTTTGCTGGAGCCACAGTCAGGGACAAACAGAGACTACAGCGCATTGTGCGCTCTGCAGAGGAAGTGATCGGCCGCAGCCTTCCATCGCTGCAGGACCTGTACGTCGCCCGAGCTCGAGGCCGGGCTGGTCGTATCACAGCCGACCCCTCTCACCCTCGACATGGACTATTCCAACCACTCCCCTCAGGCAGGAGGCTGCGGTCCATCAGGACTAGAACCTCCCGCCACAAGAACAGTTTCTTCCCCTCTGCTGTTGGACTCTTGAACACTTCTTAACCTGTCCCCCCGCCCTTTATAAAGTCACTTTACTGCCCATCACACGTCACTTTACTTCACTGTACTGCTGTCACCTTACATTGTGTGCACCATGTGCACTTGTATATTGTAAATAGTAACTGTAACTCTATTTTAAATCTAAATTTATTCTTTAGAAGTGTTTTTTATTCTTATTTTTATTATCTCTTTTTGACTGTTGCACTGAGCCAAAGCAATTTCCTAGTCTGTGACCTCCTGTTACTTACGTGGCAATAAAAATGATTCTGATTCTGAAATATTTACATTCCACAAAATACATTGCAAAAACAAAGACCAAAATGTCAGCACACTATTGCTTTATCATAATCGTTTCACTTTATTAAAAGATTTATTTTGCACAAAAAAATAAGGATTTTATTAAACTGTTTTAAACATTACTTGAAGATAATCAATTCTGAAGCATCACAACAGAAATATTATTTAAATTACAGCAGCTTGCTTGGAGCCCCAATAGATCACTTTTAAGCCAATAATTAGTAAAACGAATCATTCACTTTGAAAGTCTTTGTCACTTAACAAAACACAAAAACATGTGTCCTGACAGTGAGCGGCTGCATCTCCACAAACCTGACTCGTACAAACTGGAGAAAGCGCCGTTTGTTTCCATGAGAAAGTTTCTTTGGCTGTAATCATCCACGATATGGCTTTAGACATGAACAGTGAATGAATCAATCATTCTGCTCCAGAAAGTCACATTTGTAAAGCGCTTTGTATGACCTTGGTCTGGCATATACGACATATACATAAATATTACGTACTTACATACTATTGCTTTAAATATTTGCATACACATTGTAATGACCTAAAAACGAGTAATTCCCTCCACCAGAAAAATGACAACTCTTCCTTTAAAGTGATAGTCTGTAACTCCAGATGGATTACACATTTCAGGAAATGTGTTAAATTGACCTCCTGGCCTTAAATGTTGATATAAAATAAGTCATTTTATTAATTCTAATATTACGGGTAAGTCCCGCCTTCCCTTCTCTTAGCTATAGCTCAAAATCCACGATGTCGTCCACGTTAACCAATCGAGTGATGCCAAGAGTTGTCAATCATCAGCGCTGATGCTCGTAGCTGCGCATGCTCAGTTGTTTGTTTTCATGGAGCCTCCGAATCAAGCCTCCATTAGGCTCTAGAACTACATGAAAACTGAACAAAGAATTCTGAACATCCGCGCTGAGTTACCCATTTATATACTGAACCTATATCCATAATCATTTATATACTGAACCTATATCCATAATCATTTATATACTGAACCTATATCCATAATCATTTATATACTGAACCTATATCCATAATCATTTATATACTGAACCTATATCCATAATCATTTATATACTGAACCTATATCCATAATCAGATCCTCTGCAGATTTGTCCGATAATGTTCAATTCATGATAATAGCTTCTTCCGGGTTTCCCGCGATCGCTTTTTTTGTGCATAAAAACATTATTTTTTTCATGAAAACGTTAACAAATAATTCTGAAACCTCCGTGCATGTGTAGTAATAATGTATATGTATAATTTGTTCTCTGATTAACATTTAAAAGTGTTAGGGAAACGTAGGTGTAGACCAATCAGAAAGGAAGGGGGAGGAGCTTGCATCGTTTTTTTCAAATCAAGTACCTCTCTCTCTGACAAACTCCAGACAATCACTTTAAAGCTGGGGTACCTAAAAAAGTTATGTAGTCCAGATTTGTTTGTGTACATGTTTTATTAATAAATGTATCTATTTTTTTGTTTTTAAACATATAAAGCTGGCAAACCTGTTATTTGTATCTTTGTGCTGCACTTTGGAAACTTTTTTTTAGAAAATTAGTTATTTTTCCCAACAAACATGTGACATGTGGTGAACTAATCCAACCACAATATAATTTAATCTGAGTATAAAAACTGTTTTCTGTTGATCAACAGAAGCCAGAAATACATGCAAGTGAAAACTGTTTATGTACATTATTAAACATGGATAATAATTAACATTTATTTTTTGTTTATGGTGGGAAAGTAGCATTAAACTCAGGCTTTTCCAACAAACATACATGCTGCCATTAGGTCAGTAATAACGTCTCCAATCACAATTACGCAGATGCCGCTCAGATCTATGTCTCACTTTGACCAGTGGACTCACTCCCTCACTGCATCCAACAGATCAGTGAATGGATGCAAAATAACTTTCTCTAAACACAGAAAAAACGTTTTCTCTTTGGTCCCCAGAAACAAAGAGAGAACGTTGTCTGTCACATCCAGTCCCTCTCCCTAAACCCCTAAAATCAGGTCAGAAATCTGGGAGTAATCATGGACTCCAACTTTTTTTTTAAATTACAATTTTAATAGCCACATCAAATCAGTAACATCAGCAGCTTTTTACCATCTAAAAAACATTGCCAGGATCAAAAACATAGTGTCTAAAGCAGACTTGGAGATTCTTATCCATGCATTTGTCTCCAGTAGGTTAGACTACTGCAATGGCCTGCTCACAGGTCTGTCCAAACAGGCTGTAAAACAGCTGCAGTACATTCAAAATGCAGCAGCTCGAGTCCTGACTAGAACCAGGAAGTACGACCACATTAGTCTGGTCCTCAGGTCTCTGCACTGGCTTCCTGTGGCTCAGAGAATAGACTTTAAAACAGCTGCTTGTGTACAAGTCTCTCCATGGCCTTGCTCCAAAATATATTAGTGTTAGTCCCATATGAACCAGCCCGGACTCTGAGGAGCACAGGGACTGGACTCCTGTTAGTGCCCAGAGTCAGAACTAAACTTCCTGAGAATGTGAGACAGGCGTCTACTCGCAGTTTTCAAGTCTAGGTTATAAACTAGGGCTGTCAAATGATTAAAATGTTTTAGTTGATTAATCGCATAGTAATGGGGAGCTAACTCACGATTAATCACATTTTTAACATTCTATTTCAAATCCACTCCAATTGAAGTTAAAGGATATTATCAAATGTAAATACACATTGGCATTCAGACCAAATGTACTTCAATCTGTTTGCTTTTCTCACAGCCTTTTACTTTTGGGCACAACCAACATGAGCTGTTAATGAACTAGAAAATGTACGTACCCCAGCTTTAATTTAGAGAGTTTAGTGGCGTCTATGGAGGAAGTGTCCTGAGGCTCCATAGTTCAGCTTCAGCGGTGTATTTGCGTGCACAGTTTACGCAAAGACACACACACAACATGCAGAGAATAGCTCTGTGGTGTATGGTCTTGGATCACGTTACCACGGCGCCATTCACCGTGTTGTTGTTAGCGGCTCACAGCCGCTGGAGGTGGGAACCTATCCCCAGAGCGGCCGCAGCTGCCCCGTGTCAGAGCGCTGCGGCCACGGACTTCAGTTCACAGCAAACAACAGCATGTGCCCCGCGGTCACGTGCATATTCTTTTAAAACTTGAATTCCCAGAGACCTGCTCTGTTTCCATCTCACACACACGTGTCTGCGGCATTCTGAGTGTTATTATGGGAAACGTGGCCGGGTCATTCGGACATGCCTTAAATGTCTTTTTCCTCGTTTAATGAGAAATATAATTAACGTGCGTTAATGCCATAATTTTGACAGCCATATTATCAACACTTTTGATTTTATTTTAACAGTGCACTGTGGCTCTTTTGATTTTAACCCCATGTGTGATTTTAATGTTTTAATATTTTTTTTTAATTTTCTTGTGATCTTATTGTGTGTTTTTAATTCCCTGATTTATGCGTTCTGTTGCCTTGTGTAGAAAAGATCACACAATGACGCACGAGTTTTGTTGTGCAGGGGGTGCAGTGGGTGCAGGGGGTACTGATGGCGATGGGGAAACATGACGGGGAGGGGGCACAGCTCTATACGAAGTGTAGGAGGCGCAGTGTTTGTACTGCAGGAGGTACTCAGGGTAGATCTGCTGCTCCTTGAACACCACAAACACGGTGGGATTGGAGAGGTCGTTGACGCAGCTGTCATAGAGGTTTACGTTTCCGCCGTCTTTGGATGGGCCACGCCTGTACCGAGAGGAGCCCAGGGCGAAGTCTCCCACCAAGACCCGAGACACAAACATAAAGCGCGGGTCAGAGTCGCCGGTGTAGTCGTGGGAGTACTGGGCATCGAGTGCAAAGTAGCTTCCTGAGAAAAGACAAACCATTAGAACACTTAGCTAAAACATGGGAACATGCAAACTTCACACAGAAAGGCCGTATTCTGACCGGGATTCGAACCCAGAGCTCTAAGCACTCAGTCACAGTGCTGCCCAAGTGGGTATAAGTTGTCTTTTCATTTGCTCTGGCCGAACAACCTGTGGAGATGGGACCAGCCAGTTCTTCATACAGTCCTTTCCAAAGTCACAAGTTTGGATTTCCTTCACAACTCCACTTTTACACAGTGTGAGAAGAGGAAAGAGTTTTCCTCATGATTTTCTTGTAGAGTGAGACTCTGGAGAGTATGGCCTTCTCAACTGCACTGGTCCCCTCTGCTCACACTACTGCAGTGTTTGCATTTACCAACAAATGTGAAAATTGAATTTGCGAAGGGCACTATGACCACAGTTTACAATATGCCCAAGAGATAGTGGTCGTGATCCTGGGTCTGTGCTGGCCCATGGGATCAGAACCCTCTTTCCAAGAGCGCCTAATACGCAGCAGTCTGTAGGGAACGACCCGCATATGGACTATTCCAACCACTCCCTTCAGGCAGGAGGCGACGTCTTCCCTTCTCATGAACACTTCTTAAACCATCACTGACCCATGACCTTTACAACCGTCACTTTACACAAAGGTCACTTTATACCTTTGTCATATCATACTTTTGTCACATAATAATCTCATACCTCTCGACACTTATCGATCATCTGCACTGGTAAGTGGCTATAGTGTGCTCCAATATAGAATAATATTATTAAGATTTTTTATAATGTTTTATTGTAATTTATGTTTTACAAATGCATATATAGTATTTACATGACTTGACACTGACCCTGCCCATAGCGTGTCCCGTTGACTCCACACACTCTCCAGTCAAAGTTGGTTTCACAAATGGTGTTCACAAACTCTGGCTCAGTCCCGTGGAACAGCTTCATCTCCAGCACGGGCTGTCCACCATTTTTCTGTTTCATGTGAGTCTTGTGCCTGTAATTAACAAACCATAATTTAATTTTCATTATATTACACACAATCCCTGCAAAATGACTGTATACACGTACAGCTGAAAGGCCTCCCACAGGACTCTGTTCTGAATCCTTTGTATTGTAAGGATTTCAAAGTCAGCCATGGTTCGATTGAAATGATTTTTCATTATCTTATACTCCCCAGATGAGGGCTGCAGTAGTACTGTCTACAAACAAACAAAAAGCAAGATCAAAACAATTAACACATAAAGCTGAGCAGTCATTGATTGTGCAACGTCCATACTACATTATCCCTGAACCTGTCTCCTTTTCACACACAGATTTTGAGATTAACTTTGCTCTACTGCAAACAGGGATTCACGATTTTGGAAACATATCCATATTTCTGAACATCATCACAATGCAATTGTAGATACTGTAAGGCTGGGAATCTCTGGGTCCCTCACAATACGAAATATGTTACATGGCTCACCATTATGACAATACAATATTATGACAATACTGTGATAATCAATATAAATAGAAAGATACTTTATGGATCCCAGTAGGAGAAATTCAGGTGTCCAGTAGCAGCAAAAAAAAATTTGATCATTCTAAAAAGCTAATAAAAATAATAATCAGCAACAGCCCTTCAGGTCACAGCAGCAGAGGTGGAGTAGCCGCTTGAATGAATCTGTGACACTTCACTAAGACTGTCTCAGAACTACTATTACCATGAAACTGGATTTACTCAAAAACTGGTCTGGAAAACAAAGTTATTCCCACGATAAAAGAGGCTAACCTGTTCTGTAAGTACAGTGACGCTAACTCACCGTATACTTCTGTAAACTAAATAATCAGGGTCTGATGGATCAAGGGCATTGGGCTTGATGAGTCGGATTGTGGTTGTTGGAAAAAGTTTTTTCTCAGGTCTAAAATTACTATAAACCTGAGAATCGAAGAGTTTACTTTGGAGATTAACAACTGGCAGCGTGAGGATACGTCACCGTGTGGGTGGGGGGAGGCGGGCTCACAGACAGAGGAGCAGACTCCTCTTTGGATCAGCTCGTTTGAGTCGAGGTTACATCGCCACTATGCAAGTAATGGCTATATTTTCTCAAGTTTTGAGTGATGTATGGCGTATCATGCAAATAATTACCACATGGACTGTGAAACATGAAGAAGAGCGCAATATGGAACCTTTTAAACATCCAGTATAGTGCACTCTTTTGATCCTGGTGTGTTTTTCTAAGATCATCTAAGATCTTCTTATTTTGTTTGATTTGCTAATACTTACACTAGTTATCACTGCTTTCATAATGCCAAGTTATTTTCTAAAGGCCCATTTCCAAAGGTTATCACAGCACAAAGATCTACCTTAAAGCCAATTTGAGGGATCTGAGTTTTGTCCCATTCAACTGGCACAGCGGTAAAGAGTGGGGGTCGCCTTCTACAACAAGAAAGAATAGTTATAAGGGCTTTCAATGTTTTTCATATCCATATGTACAAAATGTGTTACCGTTGTGTGGAGACCTGAGCAGCAGAGACAAACCGAGGCCGTCTCCTCACCAGCCTCTTAGTGTCGTACCTCAAGTTTGTCTGAAGCATGTCTGGGAAATCATGAGAGGAATAACGGTTACTGCATGTTGCTCTTACATATAGACAGAGTGTTATATTACTGCACATTCACCGGAGAAACTGAGCTTATACGACTGTGAACCGACAGTAAACGCCACCACATCTTTATTGTTTTGCAGATACAGCTCCTCGAGATCTTTACTGGTGATGGATGGTAAGTGATGCTCGCTTGTCTGCAACAATTTAACAATCACACCTTTGAAAATATTGTACTCCGTATAGGTCTGCAATTAATGAATATTTTTATTATTGAATAGTTGTCAGTGAGGATGACATAACCCACAGCTGCAGCCCTTTTGTGCTTGCATGAATCCAGTGATATAAAAATGGACGCCATTAAAATGGCTTTGTGTTAACGCCAATAAACTGACAGCACTGGGTCTGGAGTTCAGTGTCGAAGCACATTTAATATCATTAGGCAGAGCATTCTATTTATAGAATCTCACCTTCATCCCTCTTCTTGTTTTATGCATTGTGTAGCATTTGGAATCCCATTTTACCATATTTTTATTTTGGCATCTTTGCGTTGACTTACCAAAGCAGCATACTGGTACCACTTGCCATACTCGTCCTCCCAGTACCAGAGCCAGTCTGTGGTGTGGATGAAGTCCGGCTGCAGCACAGAGTTCACAGTGGAGAGACGCCTCACTTCATTGGAATTACATCTCATGGTGTCGAAGTGCACAGGAGGACTGGTCGAGCTGCAACACAAAAATAGTAGGGCTGTCAAACAATTAAATAATTTAAACGAGTTAATTACAGCTTAAAAATGATTTAATCGTAATTAATCGCATTTCGAACTATTGGCAAAATGATGCCATATTTTTCTGTAAATGGTTGTTTGAATGGAAAGATAAATGATGACATAGTGTACATATGTACTGTATTTGTTTATTATAACAATAAATCCACATAAAATGGCGTTAACATTATTAACATTCTGTCTTTCTGTAGTAGACACTATTTTTTCAGCTCGACATATTCCACATCTGCTAAAGCCTCTTTCTTCTTCTTCTCTGTCTCATAAAGGTTGTGGATCCTCTTCATTATTGTGCCTCTACAAACTATTGTTTGATACAGGGATGAGAATGGGACTTTTGAAAAAAGTCTGAAATGCACATCAGCCAATGGCTGTCATTAACTCTGTTTGATTTGCTCACGACATTTCATTTTTGGGCAAAAACAACATGAAATGGTAGTGCAAAGGAAAAGTTAGGTACCCCAGCTTTAATTTAGCGTGTTTTTAATGAATTTAAGTTGTCTATGCTCTAACCTGTGTGTGGCGTCATAGCGGGTAACGCCCATGCATTGAAAGCCATGGATCTTTGCCACAGATACTCGCACATCCTCTCTTCTCTCCACTGATGTCCGACACAATACTGCACTCTACAGGTGTCAATTGCTCATTACACATATACTGCCGTTTTGAGAGTGAAAATGTGACTTAGGTGGGATTTGAATCCCAGTTGCTGCAATGCCAGCACATTGGCGCAACGACTGGACTATTACAGCGCCAACGGGGAAATATACACTGGTAGCAGTCTGATATTCGCTGTTCACCGCCTTGTCATCTTGAATATCCGCAAAAAAAGACCAAATACCAAATTGTAAACAACTTACAGCCAGTTGAAACGTACCCGCTCTGACATCACCAAGGGAGAAGAGGCTGTGAAGTTTTTTTCGTTTCTAAGGGGGTTGCTATAGTGTATTCTCGATTTGGGGAATCAGACAAAAAAAAAAAAATGAGTTTGAAACCTTTAGTAGTTCTCTTCTAATATAAAATGGTATTAAAACTGTATTTCTAAATCAATCAAACCCTGCATAAGGTCTTTAAAAACACATCTTAAATGTCCCATGCTTGTATGATGCATCATATTAAAGCTAGAGCCTTCTAGTTTATGTAAATATACACTAAAATAATGTTTGTCATTACTATTTCTCTCTGCATCCTTTGAAGTTTGGAAAAAAAAACAATTTTTTTAGCCTCGCCTAAAATTTTCAATTTCTAAAGGCCCTAAAAAAGGCATACTTCATTGTAAATTCACAATATTCAAACCCTATGGTCATTGTGTTGTTGACAACAACTGTCTAAAGTTTCAGACTTCTAAGTTTTATAGTTTTTATGCAGTTTCGCTTTTTCATCAAGTAGTGTCATTTGGAAAGTTGGCACAATTGTGCCAAATTGCTTTACTGACATTTCATCATCATAAAAACAATGTTTTTTATTATTGGTACATATAAGTTACTAATCTATGTGATTTTTTTTTTTTAAATGTCAAAAATGTGTAAATTCATTGCAGCTTCGAGAGCGTCTTTTTCCTGCCATTACGCACAGTTATACTGATGCAAACTAAGACAGTACACCTTTGTCCGCCCCCGAAAGCTTTCCTCATTGGCTACACGGACATGTCAATCATTCGGCCATGAAGCTCATTCCAAGCCGTCCGGAAGACAACAAAGCTCAAGTCACTCACGCGCAACAAGCAGCTGCTAGCTGTACTCACAGAGATGTTGCAGACGTAAACAAGCTTTATGGAAGCTAACGAGCTGGGGAACACGTGGATACCATGTGTTTGGGTGAAAAACAAAGCTAAAAGTGAAAGAGCAGCATCTGTGCTCTTTTTTTCCGTTTTTTTTGCTAAAGATAAATACACATTTTTGGATTAATTCTCCAGAATGGATTATACTTTGGGAAATACAAGCGGATATTTTTTTTCAATGGACATTTACGGAGTGAAAGATGTATTGGAAGCTGGGAGGAGATCTGATTTATTTATGCAGCACAAGCCCAAAAGTAAAAAACTTTTTCGGAAGTAATTTATTTTGTGCCCATATTATGTGTTATATCTTTTGAATGTAGTTTACACTTGTATATAAATGTAGATAAGAAAATAAGCTTTACAATGATATACAGCTTTTGGGGTTTGGTGTTCAAAATACATCTGCTATTGCCAGCAGAACATTTTATAAATAAAAATCGCCCGCCGGCGGGCGGGTGGATGTTAAGAAAGCATAATTTTTTTTAACGCGATTAATGAAAAATATTAATTAACGCGCGTCAAGCGATAACTTTGACAGGCCTAAAAAATAGATATTTTTAATCCTTCAATGACATAAACTCAAGTAGCTCAAGCTAACCCCCCCATGCTGTGACTCAATCAAAAAAGTGGAATTTTTTACAATATGTATTTCACTGCGTGCGTGTGCAATTGCACAGAGCTTTTGGGGCCTCAATGCACAGAAAACTCTGTCCTGCAAACAAAATTAGAATCGATGCTGATGCATGTGAATCCCATGTATTTACGGCTTGTCAACGTGATTGACAGCGTCCCGTGCTGCCAGCACAAACTACGCGGCTGCGTATTTCTACAGCATTTGCGGACTTGCGGGTCATGTGAGCCTGTGTCTCATAGGAAAGAGCACTACACCAGCTGTTGAGACCATAGACTGTAAATATTAACGGACGTAGTCACGCCTGTCTCTGCCGTTCAAACGAATGTGCCACCACTTCTGCAGTTTATGGGCAGTTTCAAAATGGCCGCAGGAGCTGAAAAATGTGAAAAAACGCATCTGAGCATTCGTCAGCCGGCACGAGCCCCATTCATTTAACGAGTGGCTTCAAAAATTCACAGCAACTGAACTAGACAGGTCCAAAAAACTTGACGGTAACACTTTATAATAACTACACCTTATTTAGGCTTAATAAATGTTGAAATAACACTTAATTAATCAAGAACAATTCATTAATTAAGTGTGACCAACACTTAATAACTACTTAACTACTACAGTCAATAAGTGCTTAACTCATAATCTTCAAGTACTTCACTTGTTCATTATTAATTTATAATTATGAAGTAACCAATTGTCACTATATATACAGATGGTTTGTTACACCATGATTAAACTACATGTTTATGATTAATAATTGTATACTTGATTATAAACTAATACTGCAGTGCATGACTTATTTGTCAGTTACTGACAGTTAAGAGTTTTTGTGAGAAAAAACACAAGGATGACTAACGTGATCGTATAACAATAATAGGCCATGAGACGTGAATACAGAATATATATTTATCTTTTAAATTGCTTTACAAAGCTATAACAGGCCCATAACAATGACAAAAATAGAAAGCCTCCAAATTGGCCCCATGAATTAAATACACATGTAAACACGAACGAGGAGGAGCATCATCTTCGAACTATGGTGGGCGATATGGGCAAAAATTAATATCTCACAATTTTTTTCCCAATTCCTGATGACGATATTGTCACGATATCTTTAAAATCAATAATTTTAACAAAAAATTATCTGTATTATCTGTAAAAATTATCTGTATGTTTATCTTGTCTGGGCACCTATAGAGACAGTGTAGATCAAAATAGCAGCTTTTTATTTGTAAAGTGCTTCACACATCTTTGCAAAACATGCACAAACATATAACAACATTAACTTCAGCGGACGTCAAGGCCACTACGTTAATCAGTGTCCTATTTGTCCAAAAGGGTCAGCCCGACAGTAATTATGGGAGTTCTGACGGGCGAGGTCTTCAAACCCCCAAGAAGAAATAAAACTCCAGCTGCAAGCCACTTTGTGTTGGAACAAAGAGTCCTTTCCTATACAAGTTTTTTGTTGATTCTGGTGCCGAGCAGAATTTTTTGGATTCAGATTTCATCCAACAAGCAGGAATCTGCATGGAGCCACTTCCTGAAAGGATTAAGGTTAGTGCTCTAAATTGAACTTTTCTTACTGAAATCACCCATCAGACTGTACCACTTCACTTAATCCTGTCTGGTAATCACCATGAAAAATGCAGTTTTTTTGCATTTTCTGCTCCTCTTACCCCATGGCTTAAAACCCATAACCCTCACATAAATTGGTCGGCTGGCAACATCACAGGCTGGAGCACATTCTGTCACAAATCTTGTTTACATTCCGCTTTACCGCCTGCAGGGTGGGCTAGGCATCGTTCAGTACACCCGATTCCTGATTTAACATCTGTTCCTGTTGAATATCATGATCTTGGTAATGTTTTCAGCAGAGAGCCTTGTCCTTGCCCCCTCACAGACCCTATGATTGTGCCATTGAACATCTTCCTGGAGCTACTCTGCCGCCAGGCCGGCTGTACAAGGAACACAGTCAACATGTCGGTCTGGTTCTGCAGAGATTACTTGAGAACAGGCTGTGTGTGAAAGCGGAGAAATGTGAGTTTCATACTAATTCTGTCTCCTTCCTTGGATTTGTTTTCAAGGGTGGAGAAGTAGCGGCTGACCCCAGTAAGATTCAGGCAGTGACTGAATGGCCAGAGCCTTATAATAAGAAGCAACTACAGAGGTGTCTTGGCTTTGCTATCTTCTACCTTCGCTTCATTCGAGGATTTAGTCAAGTGGCTGCACCCCTCACTAGACTTAAATCCTCTAAGATGTAATTTCACTGGTCTACTGATGCTGATTGTGCGTTCAACAAGCTTAAGATGTTATTCTCCACAGCGCCTGTCTTGGTTCAGCCAGATCCCTCCAAACAATTCCTTTTAGAGGTAGATGCATCAGATGTGGGAGTGGGGGCATTGCTGTCCCAACGCTTTGATTCTGACAACCGTCTTCATCCTTGCGCATTTTATTCTAGACGGTTGAACCCAGCAGATGTCAATTACAATGTCAATGTAATTG